TAGGGTAAGGATAAGCGCGTGGGCACTCTGAACAAGGCCGATTGATGAGGCCTTGGACAAAGGGCCGTCCCATGTGAAAACCCATCATTAGGGGAGAGAAAAATCAACAAATTAATGGCCGAAATGCAAAATTTCATAACTCGACAAGAAAGACAAACAATAAGGAGAAGTTGGAAGCAAGGTGAGAGAATCGCCTACTCCTGATCGAGTGGTGCTCACTCGATCAGAGTGGAGGGGACTAGATGATATGAGATATTATCTCATCTTCCCCATCTATCGAGATGGATGGTCTAGTGAGGGTGCATATCGTATCGATTATATAAGTGATGATCGAGCGGATGAACTAATCAAACAGAAGTAAATGAACCGATCGACCAGGGGAAATAGTCAAACAGAATATTAAAGCAGCGTGTTAAATCGGAAAGTGAGGATTTAACAACTCCCCAATATTCGGGAATCGTGGATGGAAGCAGTTAGATCGTGGGTCAAACCGTTATCCATGGAGATATATAGGAAGGTAACCGGCTCCAGGTAAAGGGGATATTATTACTTCTTGAATACACACTCTTCTAAAAAAGAAAAAAAAAAAGAGCAAGAGGAACTAACTTAGTCATCGGAGGGCCGAGCCGGAGACATCTCTTCTCCGGTATTGGCTTTTTTGCAGGTATTGGAAGCGATCAACCGGTGTGAGAGGTGAGATTTCAAGGAGCTTAGTCGGTTCAAGGTATAAAATTCATACCAGAAAGCATACTCTCTTTCAGTTCCTAAAAGCATAGAAGAAAGACAACATGTCATAAAACGGTACAAAATTCAATCACAATATTAAGAAGTACAACATCAATCATAAATTACAACAATCACATGCACATTATCAAGAAATTAAGAAGTACAACACACGTTATTTTTTGAAATTAACAAGTACATTCATATAAGTAGTTGGTATTAATTTAATACATAAAAATGTACTTTCGTTATTTCATACACCATAACAAATGAATCTTCATTATGGTTATTTTTCATCTCGGTTAATTAAATACACTTATACATTCACAATATAATACTACAACCATTTCATAAAACACATAGAGTTCAAACTTAAAAATATTTCAACTTTTGGAAACTAAAAAACAACATAACATGTCTTCAAGATATCTTAACAATTCAAAGAATTCATCGCAACGTAAATTCATTATATATTATATTACTAACATATAATTCATCACAAAGTAAATTCTAAGTCGATATTAATCTTTAAAAGGGTATTAATCTCAGCAAATCTCGTTAAATGTTACTATAAAATGAGAATATAGTCATTTCCAAAATTTCTATAACGAATGTACATTCATTATATATTACATTACAAATATATAAGTCTCATTATTTTCAATTCATTAACTAAATCCTACAACCATTTCATCTAATACATAGAGTTCACCTTACAAGCATTTCATCAAACACATAAAGTGCATCAATTCACCAACTCAATCCTACAAGCATTTCAACAATTAACCTCACTTTAATGCATAAGACATATTAAACAATTAATCCCACTTTCATCTCTTTAAACACAATACACTACGAAATAACAACAATATCAAAACATTCTTCTTCAAAACAATTTAATAAAAACTGAAA